TATTATACACGCTCTAATAAACTACTAAGATAGCTAGCCTAGTAAATACCTTTGACTTATACGATACGAAATACGCTTTATATAACCTTAGGGTATAGTAGGGTAGAAATAGCTTAAAATAAAAGCGAGAGGGTTTTTCTTTTTATAGAAAGGCAAAAAGCTTAAATAATTAATAATAAATCTAATAAAATACTTAAATTATTATAATAAATACATGAATTAACTAATATTATAACTAATTAGCTTATATAAAAAAGTGGGTCCTTTAAGCTTATTATAAGCTAAAAAACTAAATTATATATTATTATTAAGTACCTTAAACCTAGTAGGCACCTTTAACCTACACGATTTGGAACACGCTCTATATAACCCTAGGGTTATAGCGGGGCGGGAACGACCTGGAATAGAAGCGAGGGGGTTTTTCTTCCTATAGAAAGGGTTTTCCCACTCGAACTACATGTAGAAGTACTAGAATAGCTTATAATAGCTCTAGGGTACCTAATAATAATAATATATAATAAAATAAGAGGTAATATTATTAAAGATACTTTAGGTAAAAATTATAGAAAAGAACATTAATTAATATAACTAATACCCTAAATTATTATAACAGCCCCACCGTTTAACCTATTATTAACAGTAGAAGTAGACCGAAGATTCGCTAGTGTCGCTTAGCCTCCGCCACTCAAGTCTGTCTTCACTGTCACTGCTAACGTGAAGGTTAAAGCTGTTAACGTTGGCTCTATCATTAGTATCTTCACTCCGGTCGCGAGTTGCCAGGTTCTAGACTGCTCTGCTTACTGGGAACGACGACGGCGAGAAGGGGAAACGGAAAGAACAAAAAACATATACACGATACATCTTTCCACCGTTAGGTAGCATGTGCTAATTTTATGACGATAACACTGACTTTGGTATTCGTCGAACGAGCGTGTCATCTCAACTGCCCTAATAGCCATGGTCTGATTGATACGTCTCATTGCGGACTAGGACAGTGTCGAGCAGCCAAGTTAAAAGCGATTCGTGGCACCATTTGGCCAACCTTTGCAAAACTACAACAATCTGACAGATTCCCTGCATGGTATCTGTTGACCCAATCAGAATTTTGTTCCAGATGATTATTTGTCGCCTCTTATGCTTTTTTACTTCTGGCCCGCGCGTTGCGGCTATAAAGTGCCAGTCATGACCCTGGATGATGATTCCTGGGAGATATTGTAGGTCAGCTATATCATCAGCACTCTGGTTCAGCTCGCTGATGCGCATCCAGTGTCCCCCCATCCATGCGCTGAGTTGTTCTATGGCAGGCTGCCAATCAGAGCCAGGCAGCTTGGCCTCAAAGCTCACACCGATTGGCCTGGCGATAAGCGGCGGATAGTCTGAATGGTTGATGGAGAAGTGATCGGACTGCTTAGCTACATGGCAGATCGCACTGCTTAGGGCAGATTTTCGGCGAGGGCTTATGCATATGCAGAAGTCAATACGTCTGTCGTGTTTTGTTGAGACAGTCGTTGTAGTATATGGAGCCACAATCTGAGCGGTCGTCCTAAATTATGTGAGATAATTAAGAAAAGACGTGCGCACTGTCAGGACATACACATTGAATGGAGTAATTTGGGCATCTCGCCGGAGGCTGCTGTCGCTGGTTTGACAGGGGCCATTGGCGCTGTTGGCCGCCGCCAGCTGAAGTGATACTTTCATTAAGGGAAAATGGACGCTGCAATTCCATGATGCTTCAGCATGGCCGTCCAACAGACACTCCTGAGCATCGTTCCAGATTTCGATTAGCGTTCTAACGTCGGGTAGTTTACCCAGCTGCTCTCGTCGATCGGTCTCATCAACCACCGCCTTTGTCTCAAGTATATCTCTAAAGAGATTATCGTCGCGTCTGGCATCTCTGAATTTTTCCTGTGAATAATCTGTCAATAAAATGTTTGGGAACCTGCATTAGAACCGGGTTACGGTACCAATTCATCATGTGATAGGATACCTATCCCAGTAGCGTATTGTTTGATCTCTTTCACGAAGTCCTGGAGGGCTGTGGGAGGCGCTTCGCTTCCCCCAAATGGCTTATAATCGATAAGTTGTTCCATTTGCAAGTATGCTATACGTTTAGTTGGGCTTTTTGTGCCGTTACGGCTATGTCTGCTAGCGGCCGACGTGCTGCTCCCCGAGCCACGCGAATAACTCGAGCTGTATTTCGGCCCGAGCGTGGGCCTAGTTGGCGTTGCATCGGGGTCGGCACGTAGGCGTTTCGTCGGTGATGCTTCGTCTTCAGACATCGGCGGGGTTGGTGGGAGACGTTTGCGACAGTATTGTTCACGTTCTTGAGATAGGGAGGAACTCGGGACGGCCGCAAGCCATTTAGAGATATCTTCCCGTGTTAGAGTCATCCCCTATATGGAAATCTGGGAGTTGGGTTCAGAGTCGGAGTGCCCATCCATCAATTAAGGTCGTACTAAGTGTTCATTGACTTCGTGAAGGCCACGCAACTGTTATGAAGGGACTAAGGAGGGGTCCGAAGGAAAGGCAGCCAGTCTATGTGGTGGGTGTGCTCTGACGCCCCACAGACAAACCAGGCGATTGGCCCAGCAACGCCGCAAGTATGTGTCCGAGTGTCCCCCAGAACAATCAGCGTCTTAGTGACCAATAACTATATTTACATGTCCTTAATTGGCACGCAAAACTTGTCGGCCATGTTTACGCAATTGTAGAATTTTCAGGGAAGTCGATGGCCAAATGAAGCGGCTTCGGTTTCGCGGTCCACATTAAGTTGGTGTTCAATTATGCGGACTGTTAATAGATACTTTCTCGTCTTGTTAGGAAGTCGTAGTAAACGCATCTGGTCGTTGACGCAGCTTCTGACACAAGCATTGCTCGTCATCTGCCAGTTTCGGTCGGCCGGCACATCGGCCTTGATTCAGCCTGTCTAGCTAATCCTTGGATACGGCAAGTTCCACGGCAGCTTGCTCCCGCAAGGTAGTTCTCGTGTATTTTCATTCTGTAACATTGCGATCTGCTCAATCTCGACTACCCATCAACCCGATTCCGACAGGGATAGTGTAACGCTTTCAACAGGCTGGCTGTATTATTTTTCGCGATCCTTTTACCAGGCCGCCCGTATATTAACAGCTTAAACAGTTGCGCCCGCTCTAAACTAGCCTAAGCATTTCGATAACTGAGTAAGGTTCGCAATTATTAATTATTCAGTAACTATGTTTAATTGGATAAGAATATTTTCTGCACGTGCACCCAAGTTTTCGTGCCGCCAGTCCCTGCTTAGTATTCTCAACGTGTTACTGCTTCGGCCAGCAAATCACCTATCCGCTCGTTCAACCTCCCACCGCAAATCCACCTCTGATAGTTATAGTTATTAATATTATATTATATGATAACACAGAATAAATCCAGAACAATGCCTGTCAAGTAGTTGTACCAGACTTGGTTTTGGCCTAACTTTTTTGATCTCCGACGCGCCTTAGCGCTTGTCAAGGTAATTGAAATCGTTGCTAGTTCCCCTGCGAAATAATGGCTTCGGGAACTAAGAACCGATCTGAGATATTTTTAAGCCCATAGTAGTGGAACTGGTAAAGAGTTACCCACAACTTGACGTAATTGTGGAGTGACAGGCGACAAAGCCAGGCTAACAAGTATAACTCGGGGCATTTCCATGGATAGTGGCGGTGTCCCTAGCGCGCTACCGGCGAACCGAGTTTATACGAAATGGCTAATATGCGTCTTTTTAGCTTCATGCTCTCTTGTTTTCTTTATTATAGTTTAGGTTCACTGTATAAAGAGATTGCGAACTAGATCTTAATAAGTGGCAGTACCGTAGAATAGAGCGAAAGTAACACGTGATACTTCCATTCCACCTGCGGTATACCATAATTCCAGGTAAATTCGCATCAAGTTTAAGGCAAAATCATTCATGCTTTTTTGCGACACCAAACCCTATAGTTGAGCGGGATAGGCGGCAAAGTCTAGTTTTAACACTAGGATGAGCCACCGCTGTCCAGCACGACTTACCCCTCGGGAAGAATGTGGGAAATCATTGAAGACCGCTGTGGCCATCCTCATCTTTGATCTGGAGAAGTGCATTGAAATTTGGGGAGCTCTCGAGATATCGTCTCAGCTCATTCACGTTTCCGGAACAAGCCGCCGATATTGACACACCAGAGGCTCGTGAGGTAAACTGGTCTTCCACTCCATTTGACTCAGAACGCGTCGTGATGTCGTAGTCCCCGTCTTCCAGAGATGCCGCTTGTTAATCTGTCTGGAAGGTCACTGGGTTCATATGATTCGTTCGAATAGCTTTCCAGCTCCTGTAGAATGTCCTCAGGTATCGTATTAAGCCCAACGGTGCGGAATCGTTCTTTCAGCTTCGTGCCATCACCGTAACGCGTCCGTTCGATTTCGAAAGATAATGCGGAGACTCTCGCATCGTTCTCAAATGGAAAGATGATTACATACTCAATATTTACATCTGAATCTACTTTCTCGCAGTGCGCCACTCTCGAATCACAACGTATCGGCGACGGACGATCGTAAATGTACCGGCCCCAGTCGTTCTGAATCCTCCAACCCGTCCTTTCATGATGCCTAAAGTGAATGATACCATGGCTGTGCGCTTTATTGCAGAAAGGGCAAAGAACGGTTACACTGCTATCGTTCCAATGAAGGGCGACTGCAGCCAACAGTGACTCCTTTCGTCTCCGTGCGGCCGAGTTCCGATAAGGGATTTCATCCGCAGATGCCGTTTCGTAGGAAACGCCATCCGGGGGCCTGCAGCGAACAAATTGCAAAGTCGCAAAATCCCACATTATATGGATGTATGGAGCTTGAAATCTGGTGGAGTTGAAAGTTGATTGTAGATGTTATTTTACGGTAACTACCGTACTTTCTGTATTAATACTTACAGAAATGCTAAAGTTCTCTGGAGTCGGGAAGGTGAGCCACCAAATGGCCACGTGTCAGCACATATTAGCCGAGATTTACCCGCCACCATTTCTGCTGGAAATCAGCAGCACACTTCCCCCATCACCCATTCCCAGCTCGTTGAGATGGCATCTGCACACCACCGCCACAAGTCGTCTCTAGAGGGATTTATCAGCTTCTCATCCAGCCCCCCTCTGGAGATTGATGAGCGCGCTCTGGCGGCAGAGAGATTTTTCGAAATTATTGAGCATTACGAGAACAATAAGCTATCGAACGGCCAGTACAATCGTCCGAAACTACTCCGCCTAACTTACGAATATGCAACTTCCGAAAAGTCTAAGGATAATATTCTCCAGGCCTTTTTTAACGCTCTTAGCTTACCAATAAACTAAGAAAACGACATTAATTTCTCGATCAAAGAAACGGAGGAACTCATTCTAGCCAAGTTAAGTGGGTTTGCTGATTACTTAATTGACGACTTCTTTTTGCCTCGTGAGCCTCTTTAGCCCTCGTTTTACCATATCCTCCAGGCATTAACATCGTTTAGTAAAAGCATCAACAAAAAGAACTCCCTAGCTATTACCGGCGTACCATTCAGCCACTCAAAGCACGCGAGCCGGAGAACACTCTTTTATCGGGACGGTAGCTCGACTGAAAACCCTGCGAGGTGACTGCCTTCAACGAGACAGGCATCGCTGCGTTATTTCGCGTAGATTTGACCAAGATCAAGCCATTCAGCGCTGGCAGAAATCTGGGGTTAACGCTTAAGATAATAGTGGAGAACCTCTTACTAGTTAAGCATTTGACTCGCTAGAAGTCGCCTATATCTTACCACATTCCCTAGTAAAATCCAACTCAGATTTAGAGCTTGTACGTTGTTTACCCGGCTGCAAATTTACGCATTACTTACAGGCGCAGGATGCATCTCGAGAAGCGGCATTAAAAGTCCTTAACATGTTCGACCACGGCGTTACCCATCTTATTAACGGCCCCAAGATTAACAGGCCACGTAACGCTTTAACGCTAACACATAATCTACATTTACTGTTCGGGGACTTTTAAATATATTTTAAACTCGTGGACAGCAAAGCAAATACGTACCGCATTAATACGTTCCTTCTACTAGCATTCTTAAATTATAATTTACCTGTCACTCGCACCCTTTTTCTTACGAAAGAACGGGTAATTGAGCCTTCTTCTTCGCGATTTCTTGCTATACACCGTGCTATTGCGCACATTCTTCATCTTTCCGCCGCAGGTCCGTACATCGATGAATTACTTGAAGATATGGATCAGCGGAGCATACGTGTTGATGGGTCAACCCCAATCGGTCGTCTGGTTCAATTGAGGATAAATGGTTGGATGGATTGTATAGGCGTCTAGACTTGCAGCCTTGTGTTCTTGTTTGCTTGCGTATTGTTCGTTTACAGTACTCTATTTTTTCGAGGACTTGTTTAATAGGCGAAGGAACTCAAATCCTATGACATTCTGATAGTAAGTCTTGTGAATTAGTAGATTTAGAGGAAAGGAGTTTACTACTAAGCAGCACTGAAGCAGCCCCCACTAGCTGGAGAAAGGATGTTCCCACGTTCCTGATCTGCATGGCCTTAAGACGGTTGCGATCTCTAGCGCACATAGTAACAGCACGCCAACCAGCATGGCATCCGCTCAAAGGCGCCCGCAGTCTATACTGTTACCCATCAGCGTATTGTCGTGTTTTACGGTGGGGTTTAGAACTGTCTCCGGATGATTCTCACTACCTAGAAGGACTTACCAAGCCGACATGAAATGCTCGGGGAATCTGATATTAGTGAGTATGGAACTTCACATTAAATAAGGGAAGACATAAGAGCACCACTATTCTAGAATCGCACCTCGGCATAGCCGCTAACTGGGGCGCCCGTAACGCTCACAGACCATTCTGCGTGCGCAAAAAACATATATACCCCAAGAATTGGTAGCCAAATCGGGCTTGCGGCAATGATTCCAGCACCACCTGCCATTTGCAAAAGAGTCTACTCCCGAATAGGCACGTTTTTTATGGTAGCTTTTATTGAGCCGGCATCCCTGTAGCGGCTTATCACCTCATTAATTACTTTCATCCTTGCAAAGTCGATGGTCTCAGTTTTGTATCTTTCGCATTCGACATGAGATCGGACTCCGGAAATGCTTAGCACCAGAAGGGTCGCCGATTTATACCACCGCTAGTCCGATAACCTTAATAACATATACTTAGCCTCAGCATTATCTTATACTTTGGTGGCCAAAGCATCCCACTTTGTGGTGATGAATGTAATGGCAGGAAGAACATCTTTGTCCTAACAAAGGTTGCGTAGAAACCAAAGGCTATCCGTCATGCCAGGAGACGTACGGTCGGCAAGAATACTCTGGTCGTAAAATACGCCATGCATGCCACCAAACAGGCGATAACACTCTCCAAAAATCTTAAAAAGATTAAACGCTTTACCTCCGAAACAGGCTGGTTTTTATAGCCAAATCTAGGGTATCTATAAAGAGGAACATCTGGTCATTAATCCATGTCAATGTATAATGCGGGGCGGTAGTTCCTAAATCTGATTAGAACAGATAAGATTCATCATTTAGGGGATCATACTAGCGATAAGTAAATGCCTAACGGCAAGGTTCTCTCTTATTATTAGCTTAACTAGATTCGTCTTGCCTGAGCCAGCGTGACTAATAACGAGTATAGCTTTGAGCAAACCGTCATATTCCCTAAATAGTAAGCGTTATTAAGGCACATCCTAATTGAAAACATCTCACCTAACCTACCCGTCCCGTAAACGTCCGATGATTTCGTCGTGGACGGGGCTTCTTTGAGGTGGATCTATCGCTTCACTTGAATTAAGCCTTTTATAAATATTAAAGCTACCCCTATTAGCTTAGTATATTATAAGTAAATATAAGAAAAGTCTACCAAGCAGATTTTCATCCATAGCAATACGTGGTTAGATTGGTCCTCCCGGTTGAAGATAGGCTTCATGAGGCAACTAATATATTTTCCTGCATGCTTTGACGGTAATACATGCTAAGTCTTTTGCCTCGTGGCGTAATGAGATATATAACTTGCCACATCCAGCTATAAAGTCTCAAGTCGGCGTACATTAGCTAGAATCGACGGCCTGTCATCCACATTTAGATCGACAAGGACATTGTCACGATTGGCATCGATGGATCGCGTTTAATGTTAAATTGGTTCCTCACTTAATCTGTCATCGAGGAATGCAAGCCGCCTTTCAAGTAAGGAATTCGGAAGGGTAGCAAAAGTTCCTACCCTATTTCCCTCAGTCCAATAATCCCAACTCAAGAAGAATACCCCTCGCTGAGCCTAGAGGTTATCTTTCTTGGGTAAGCCATTTGGCAAGTTATAAGACTGTAGATGACAAGCATGTTAGCCTTGATCTAATGCGTAAAATCTTCGCTACTCACATTAGGAAAGTAATGATTGACCGTCATTACCTCAGTGCCGTTAAACGTCCCGGGGGCAATGAAATCAACTCGGTTAAGCCAGGTGTACTTTTCAGAATCCGTTTCTACTCGACTAGGTCCACATTATTAAGGGCCGAAGAAAGCGAAATCTCATCTCAGACTAATTAAGGAACCTTAGACTTACACGATGCCATTCTGATACTGGCGAACAATAGCGCCGCCTGTGTGCTTCACATACGCCCAGTGACCGTCATCTAGCTTTACGACATAGGAAATAACTAGACAAAAGACAACTGTCAACAGGAGTGTCGTTTCTTCACTAGATTCATGATCAACATACGGAGCTCAAGATATTTGGTCCCCGGGTCTGTTCCAGACGTTACAATGCCGTCATCGTTTGCACGAAGAATTTCGCCAAACTGTCGGCCCTTTGTATCATACCAGTAGCCCCTAAAAAGAAATTAGATATTTGACGATGCGAATACTAGTCGGAAACATACTCGCGACTCCACCAGCTAGCACGAAGGCCGGATGGGGTCTGAATGGTATGGTTCTGTAGATTATTGTTAGGAAAGAAAAGCCCGACTATCAAAAAGAAATTGCTAACGTTATCCAAGTCCCAGTCAATCTTGGCCTGGAAGGCAGACCGCATCTGCGGTATGAGAGAAGGAGGAGTCCATTGAAGAAGAGGTCGGGATGAAGTTTTCATAGGGGATCGGCTGGTCGCTGGGACAGCAGAAGCTCCTAGGCCGCAAAAGACCAGACTCAAGATAATAGCGGAAAGCTTCATGTTGACGATCTAACGACGTTGTTTTATTCACGCAGCTAGATACAGAGTGCTTAAACTCCTTTTTATTTACGTCTTCCACCTCATTAAACAGGCATCCGAGTCTGCCAAGTGTCAGCAAATTACATCAGTGTTGAATTAAAGAGACAATGCCAACGTTTAGCGCAGGCTCACGGGTGGCAATTTTCAGGCGTGTTCCAAGAGGAATTTTTTGTGCCACGTTTACAGGCTTCATGCAAGGATCATGTCGCGTAATCTGACCGCCGAGTGGCAAATCTTAGGCGCCGAATCTAGATCGGGTAAGCAAACATTGTAGCATCGAAACTTTTGTCCGAGTTGTAGCGGGCGGACAGTAATTATCCCGACTTGGCTTATGTGCGTCTCCTCGAGGGATCCGCAGTGTAGTATATGGTTGGCTGTCCATGGTCTAGAGTGGTTGGACACGGGGGATTTACGCCTACCCTCCTAGCTTACTCGTCTCCTGAATCTACTTTAGATCTGCGGCTGGCCCCTGTTGATCTTGGCAACCTGTTCCCGTGGAGCAGTAACTTGTATTCACTTGTCAAGGGTTTCTTAATAGTTTGTACAATTCGGTATCTCATAGCTCGTAGTCTCAATCTGGGTCAACCGATTGGTAGCTTAGACCTTCCGCCACTCCCAGAAGTGTGTAAGTATGGTACGCCTTCCAGCTGCCCTCGCCAATTCGCTGGTAGACCCCAGGGACATGTCCACATGGTGGTGATTGTCAGGATGGTGGTCTTTTATTCTCGCAATCTCATTCAATTCGCCCACTTTCCATCCCCGAAGCAACATTACGCATAAAGCCCCAGCAAGATACATGAAGCCGATCAGTAGCTGTGTACCAAGGTAATTTCCCGAGTGCTCAACAATCTCGAGAGCAACGGGTTCGCTAAACGTGCAAGGCAGAACAATGATTAACCACTCGAGGTTTAGCGCTGAAGGAAGATCTTGAAGTCCTACAACCTCGACAGCAACGGGCCCAATGGTTGCCCAGAAGGTGCCCGTCACAGTGCCCCCAACAAGTGCGTAGAAGATCAAGACACCGTAGCTTTTGGCGAAGATCCAGACGACGAAGCATAACAGCGCGCAAAGCAGGGTGGTTAGCCCAGCCATGTTGATTCGCCCGATGGCGTCCGAGAAGTACCCGATGGGTGGTCTCCCAAGTCCCTGGCCCAGATTTAACATGGCAGAGAGTACGGATGCTTGTGAGGCGGTCAGCCCAACCTTTTTTCCATAGTCGGCTAGGGAGAAGACCAGGGCAATGTACCCGAGCATGGAGAAGAAGCCGTAGCCGTTGAGTAGAAGATATTCCGGTCTCTTGAACAGCTTCATATCGAATGGGGCATGCCGAGAACCGATGATTTTGTTGCGGTCCCGTATCAAGGCGACACAAATAGTGTTTACACCAAAGGCCAAAAGCCCAAGCACCCGAAAACACCAAGCGATTCCGATGGATCGGATCATGGCCCCAGCTGCCAGAGAGTATACCAGACCTCCGAAACCCGAGCCAGAGGCACTGATGCCGTTGGCGAGTGATCGTTTCGTAGTAAACCACTGTGGCGGGATGCCAACTGACCCGACAAAGAGAAAGCCCATGCCGATGCCAAAGGCGAGCCCCTGGCTGAGGAAGAGATGCCATATGTTGTACGCGAATGACGCACCAATTAATCCGATTACCTCGAGGGCGGTTCCAAAACCCAAGGTCGCGTGGGTTCCAAATCGGCGAGTTGACAAAGTGGCCAGTGGCGACACGAGCATGGCGCAAGAGATTGACAGGCCACCCACAAAGGCATATTGCAAATACGTAGCTCCTTGATAGGCATCGGTGGAGAGGTAGTGGGCGAGAAAAACGCCGTAGGACGAGTTGATGCCCCAGGTATGGGCATTTATGAGCGCAACGCAGAGCGTGCAGATCCAGCCATAGCCACCGTTTGGCGGTTGCTCTGGACTCTGTCTTGGATCTGGCTGTTTTGCCTGTTCCGCCAAATGTAGACTTGTGGCATTGTCAACGTTTGGCGATGGGGGGACATGGTCTGAATCTGAGTTGTCAGCAGCCTGCTTGGACTCCCACATGTTGGTGTTTGAGGTCCGAGGCGTCGATGACAATGGAAAGTCAATGGACGTCGCAGGCTTTTTGCTGGGCTCGGTGCGTAGGTCTCATGTGCATATGCGCAAGTGCCCAAGCATGTATTATATACATTTGGGGTATTTCTGACTGGTGGTGGTGCGCGGCTCACATGCAGTGTCTGGTCCGAATTGCGCTAGGGAATGCGTACCTCGACACACACCGCACAAAGGGCGTCGATGCGTCGGATAATCGTGTCCTCACTATTCTGATGGATGCCCTCCGTAAGAGTAGCTGAGTTGGCTCTGCAGGCGGTGGGTTGGTGAATGTTGGTGCTTATGCCCACATGCAATCTCCGGGCCGCTAGTTTCAGATCAGACTAGCGCTTTCGCTCCGATGTTACCAGACCAGTTGACGTCTGGGGGGTCGGCCGAGAAACTCGAGTGCGGTCTGGTCTGGTCTCTGCCATGGCTAGGTTGACTTGATGCACAAATTCAAAACAGCTGACATTGAATCCTCACAGGTGGCCGGCCTTCCTGAGTAGTTGTACATATAACACAAGTAGGCGATATCGCATTCAAAATATTGCATTTACTACCTGTCAAGTCATTGGCCATGTTTGCATGAGCCGGTATCGTCTGGTGCAGAATAGACACCCTCCAAGTCCAATTCCATAGTACGAGGTTGCACACCAGACAGTATTAGCTGGTAGCTTAATACTAGTTTCAAGGGCAAGTAAGATTACTTTGCTTCGCTTTTTTTTTTCCCCTCCATCTTTTGGTCCAACTCGTTACGCCGCGTCATTTTGCACGGCACCGGCAAGAGCTGGTAGCCAAGACGGCCTGTTCACGACAAACAATTCGACAGCCGGATTGGCATCCTCAAGAGCGCCTCCATCCAGAGTACCAGCCTTGATAATCTTCAAACCAGCGTATATATCACTCTGGCGCCAGAGCGTCGAGCCACAGTCACCGCAAAAGAATGAGGTGATGGCCTTGCCGCTGTCGGCCGTCTTGGAATATTGCTTGGGGGTGCCCTTGGTCACAGAGAAGCCATCATCCGCAACCAGAAGATTGGTCGAAAACAGCGAGCCAGTCATCTTGCGGCAGTCCAGGCAGTGACAGAGGGCCTAATGGCTTGTCTCAGCAGATGCCAGAGGGATTCGGGCTGCGTCGTGTACGTACCTTGGCCTTGATCTCGCCAGTGGACTTGATGCGGATCGAGCCGCAGAGGCATCCACCTTCAACCATGATGGGTGATGGTGAAGAAGTCTGTAATGGATCGAGGGGACTTGTGTGCAATACCCTGAGGGTTACGAACCTAGATGCAAAGCTCTTTATACACTCACCAACCCCTCTCCGCGCCCCCTCCGTGTCCGTCTCCTCCTCTGTCCCCTCTCTGCCCCGCAGCGATCTGCACTGCTGGTGTCTGGTGCTTTCAACTGAAGTCTTTTTGGCGGCAGTGTGGGACCTCGGTACGGAAAATGCCTGAATAAGATGGTTAATCCCCGAAGACTTGCTCTTGTATGTAAGCCCCGCATATTTCTCCGCATGTCGCAGGGCAACGGAAGCATCCTGCGCTGCCCTCGGACTCTCCACCACGAGAATTGCCCAAAGTTATATGCTCACACCTGTAAGCAAGATTGCAAGAATGCTTCTAGAAGAGATGCCTGGCGACCCGAGACGCGGAAAATCTCTCCCACAGACTAGTTCATGCAAAACTAACCTTCAGCCTCACGCCACCCCATTACACCTGCTCCGGCGTCGCCTGCTACGATATATCAGGTGGTGCTACATGGGCTGGGTGACGAGTTGCAAGATAATGCCCGGCCCCTTGGGTGGCTTTTTGGGGGCCACCGGATCTTGATCCTCTCAGCTCCGGAGGGGTTCCTAAACCGACAGGTCATTGTGCATATTCTATTGTCCACCTGGTGGAGAGGAATTTGTCCGAGGCATTCAAGCACGCCATTCTGTGCAACTATTGGAATACTAGCTGCCTTGCCGGATACCGCCCCGAGTAAAATTTCCGTCTCGGCCACATGGCTAATACATGATGCGCTTTTTGTCTTGCTTAACCAGGCTGAGGATAGAGATCATCCAAGCCCCCTCAACCGACCTCAAAGACTTCGGCCCCCAAAAGCCACCGCTCGCGCTCCTGTGAAGCTGAATGCTGTGTACTCGGTTTGACCCAAGTGAACGGGCGCATACTAGTGTCAATAGCTTAGGACAGTGCTGTTTTTCCCGAGTCCCAAGCCCCATACAATTTGGTAGCCGCTATTGTGCACTACAAGGTTAACTGGTCTTTATAATTGTCCAAAGCAAAAAAAAAAAAAAGGTCGCGACTGTACCGGTCCTAACCGCCTCCCCCC